TCCGTGTGTCACAGACGACACTAACGCTATCAGCGTAGTGATATCCAAATTCACTTTCTGTATACTTGATATATGTTGCTGAATTTTTACCACAGTTGAACTACACCCTTCTAAATCGGGAAGAACCCCTAATAATTCCTTCATTATATTTAAACCATTTTTCGTAAATGTTTCCGCGCACTTTTGTAATTTTTTAGCCTTCAACTCTGAAAGAGTCTCTGTTTGTTTTTCGCACGTTTCGGCGGAATCTTTTGGCAAATGAGTTCGAGAATTTTTTTCGCTTGATTCACAAAAATCAGTTTTATTTTTGCAAATTTCTAAAAACTCGTTCATCACAAGTTGTTTGCGTTCTTCTTCACACGATTTATCGAAATCGTTCAATTTTAATTTTAGCTTAATATCGTCTTCGACGTCCACCCTATGACCGAAAACTTTGATATTTTTCGACTCAAGTTCGTCTGCCATCTGATTGGTCACGTTATTATAGAATAGGAAGTGTATTTCGGGAGACAGGAAGTTGATTGGATGAATTTCTATACAGTTGATATATTCATCTGCTTGTTCTATCAGATCGCGTTCACCGAACTGACCTTTCCCTGAAACAGAATGTCGAAAAGTTTTTCATGAACAGCATTAGCGAACAATTCCAATTTAATTGAAATTTTAATTTTTTGTCTCCGCTGTGATCTAACAAATTTCTCCTGCAGTTTAGTTCTAATGATCTTATTTGCAACCAATCAAAGCGTAAACGGAATGTCGAAAAGTTTTACATGAACAGCATTAGTGAACAATTCCAATTTAATTGAAATTTTTCCTTTCCGTTGTGATCTAACAAATTTCTACTACAGTCCAGTTCTAATGATCTTATTTGCAACCAATCAGAGCGTAAACGGAATGCTGAATAGTTTTACATGAGCGTCATATGTGAACAAACACAATCTATTTCAAGTACGTTATGATGTTTCTTTTTTTCTGAAATTTTTCGTCTCAACTGTGATCTGACAAATTTCTACTGCAGTCCAGTTCTAATGATCTATTTTCAACCAATGAAAGCGTAAATAAACAAAATGCCAACAATATGTGAAGAAAAACAATCTTTTTAAATTACGTTATAATAATGTTTCTTTTTTTCTGAAATTTTTCGTCTCAACTGTGATCTAACAAATTTCTACTGCAGTCCAGTTCTAATGATCTATTTTCAACCAATGAAAGCGTAAATGAACAAAATGCCGACAATATGTGAACAAACACAATCTGAACAACAGAATGTCGAACGAATCCAATTTAATTTATACTAGATATAATGTGGTTTCATTTTCTGAAATTTTTCGTCTCTGTTGTGATCTAACAAATTTCTACTGCAGTCCAGTTCTAATGATCTATTTTCAACCAATGAAAGCGTAAATAAACAAAATGCCAACAATATGTGAACGAATCTAATAATTAAAATTATGTTATAACATTGTTTTTCTTTTTTTTAATTTTCGTCTCCTTTGTGATCTAACAAATTTCTACTGCAGTCCAGTTCTAATGGTGATATTTTCAACAAATCAAAGCGGTAATATAACAGAATGTCGAACGAATCCAATTTAATTTATACTAGATATAATGTAGTTTCATTTTCTGAAATTTTTCGTCTCTGTTGTGATCTAACAAATTTCTACTGCAGTCCAGTTCTAATGATGACATTTTTAACCGATCAAAGCGTGGAATTTAGAACCTGTTTCAGGTTAACCCTGATGAATTCTGGGAATATTGAAACCAAAAGTAGAGCAATATACTTCTCACAATTTGTCATTTCTATCAAAAAAAGATTCACAGTTAAAACTTGTTAGATTACAATGGAGATAAAAAAAAAACTCAGAAATAAAAGAAACAAAATTGTTATCTAATTTTAGTAATTCAATTTCAGGAACATGACAAGCTTGCCGCGTAAATTGGAAATGGAATTGTTGGTAAAAACCTACACATGTCGCTGATACACAGACCTGCAAAACCTTTTTCAAACATCTTTTGAATCCTTCTAAAAAATTCTGATGCCTGTGCCAGTGCTTTCGAGAGTCAGTCCAGTGTTGGCTCTCACCCCCTAATACCTCACCCTTATCCTCCTCAAGGTAAGAACAATTCTGATGCCTGTGCCAGTGCTTTCGAGAGTCAGTCCAGTGTTGGCTCTCACCTCCTAAANCCTTATCCTCCTCAAGGTAAGAACAATTCTGATGCCTGTGCCAGCTCTCACCCCCTAATACCTCACCCTTATCCTTCTCAAGAT